AGAGAGAGAGAGAGAGAGAGAGAGAGAGAGAGAGATCATATGTAGATATGTGCCCCCGTGGCAAAGGCGATACATGCAAAACAGTGTGAACGTCTTTCTCTTCATCTCCATCCGCCCCCGTGGCAAAATTGATACATGCAAAAAAATACGAACGTCTTTCTCTCTCTCTCTCTCTCCCTCTCTCTCTGTGTGTGTGTGTGTGTATATATATATATATATATATATATATATATATATATATATATATATATATATCACCACGGACAATGGCATCCATGTAGTACGTGACAGTATCACTCCTGCGCAACGGACACCTCCTGCGAAAGCACAGCGCCGTCAAAGTCGAGGCGGTGCGCGACAACATCGTTGTTGGAGTCGGAAGACGACTTTTCGTCATCTGAAGCAGTCTCCAACACTGTCAGCTTCGTCCGTAACACCCTCCATAATCAGCTTCCTCATCATAATGCTCAATAACTGGGTCGTCGACGTCCGATTGCTGCAACATGTTACGTGCCCAGTCTCCAACACCAGGACTGCCGAAAACTTCAGTTGCGATGTCGAAGCGCCACGAGGTATCCCGGGCAGCGTATATATGCTGTCGTGCGGAGCGACGTCGATGGGTTACGTTTGTCGGTTTGCGGAAGACTGTGCGCAATCGCTTGATTCGTTTGTTTTTGTTCCACTCCAAAGCGGTGCAACACACTTGCGCCTCATATGACCTGGGGAAGTTCAGGCGTTTCGTGCAGTACTTGTTGATCACGGAGTGGAAGCACCAGTTGTTGAAGGTCATCCTCGCACGTGTGTAGTACGCCATCTTCGTATTCGAAGCGAACTGTTCAAGACACCGCGCGATGGCCAAATGAACACGCCCCCCCACCTCGTACAATGGCTTTCTGTCCGGACCACCGGCCTCTTTGCACAGGTTGGACAACTCATTATCGCAACGGGAATGATCCCCGACCCTGTGATTGGCGAGGTGTTGCACATGAGTGGCCAACACATCGTCATCGTCATCCCTTGCTCGCTCGAGCAACCTACAAGCGCCGTACAACCACTCCTTCGCCTCCTCCGCCACATTGCAATGCAGTGTTTGCAACGCGTCGATCCCGACGACATCATCTGGCAATGCCTTCCCTGCTTCGTCGGGGAAGAGCATACCCCAAACAATCTCAACGAGTTCATCCTTTTTTTTCGTGGACACCCTGGCCACACGTACACCTTTCGTTTCGAGCCCAAGTTCGAGCTCCCTCGTTGTGAAACACTTCACCTCGCGCACATGCTCGCAAGCCCCGACTACAGTTGGTTTGACAATCTTTGTGCCGCGCACAGCCTCTCGCAAGCGTTTGACAAAAGTCTTCGCCTTATGCCATATACACTTTTGCGAGTCAATGTTCATTCGCCACAATATGACGTCAACCGCGCCACAATCATCATGCACAACCTCTGCGATGATGAGGTTCTTCTCGTCCTTCAACCGATGAAGCAATTTTTCCACACACTGTGTTTCCAACTTCCAAGACGACTCACTCCCCCGGAGCATGGTCTCCGTCCCCACGATCATTCCTGACTTCAAATCCACCGCCGTCACCGTACAATGTTAAGCGTCACGAAACGAATCGTAACGGTCGTCCACCAAAACGACGACCGGATCGTTCGAGCTGCGCAATCGGGCGATGACCTTGTCGATGCTCTTTTGAGTAACACGTTCGACGTGTCGCAGCCACTGTCGGGAACCTGGGCCATCCTCACGGAAGAAATTATAGAAAGTTTATTTCCTTACCTTCCTCATCCCTAAGCCCAGCAGGAGGTTATTCAATTGAGTGTAAGTCATTCCCGCAGTCAAAGTGGAGTGGAACAATTGAGTCTCCACCCTCAAATTTCTCACCCCATCCGAAGAAACAACCTTCGCGGAACTCGAGTGCCAAGTACACCCTTTCCCGCACTCGAATTGCAAATTGCAAATGTGACATGGATAATGTATCTTCGTGATGGTCACCTCCACGTCTTTCCCGTGCCGAGGACACGTTTGCTCAAACATCCCGAGAATCTGTGAAAGTTTCACAGGCTCAATGAAAACGACATCAGGTTTGGCCTTAGCATCCCACATGGCCATTTGGTCCCTCGCGGTCAACCTTTCAAACATCGGACCATTATCCGAATATCCCGGCTTACCGTCGCGCCATTTCAAAGCATCACTACGAGGTCTACCACCTCTCGACTTCGCTGTCGCCGTTGAATCCGATCCTTGTCCGCATGAGCCCCCATGGGCTGACGATTGTTCGTCCGGGCCGTACTTTGACATCAGTTCATCAACGTGAACGAAACTCCACTCCAGGAGCTGGTCGAACACGTCCTCGTACGAACAATGATTTTTCTTCTTATCTTTCGACCCGCGAGCGTGAGTCGACAACGTCTTCCCCATCGGCTTTGCAATCTCACCCAGTCGATTTTGCTGATCGGGTCTGCATCGCACCCAGCAAGTCTTGCCTTCACAAGGTGTACTGGACCTCGTACGGGGCAACCGAGACGAGAAACTCATCCCAGCCTCGCAATCATTAGACGACGAAAGAACATCGCGTGCACTGTTCGTGGAAACCGGAGTGCAAGATGTCGGCAGTACTTCTTCATCCGGCGATCGTGTCTCTTCTGTCAGATGAACGGGATCCGAAGCAAAGACACCCGCAACGGGAACCGCGCCGGTGTTCTGATGTTGTGAAAACGGGAACGAGCGCGACAAAGCAAATGGATGCGCGGCGTCCGAACGAGAGGCATGGACACCACACATGGTCTGACTTGCGGACCAAGGTGTCGGCAACATCGCTGCGAGATAGCCCATGGGCGAAGAAAATGGAGGACGAGAAGAAACCACAGCGGATTGTGCAAAAGGGAACGTTGCGGGATCGCCAACGAAAGTGGGCAGAGTTGGGATTGGGGCAATGGTTGCGCGCATGTGACTCAGGAGAGGACTTTGTGTGGCAGTTGTCGAACTCAGCAGAGAAGGGAACGACAAAACCGCCATTCTATCATCTAAACGCTGCCTGGTTGCAGGTCTTTCCAATATGAGTCCGTCGGATCGAGTACGTCCATGTGAATCCAAAATCCCTCTCCCTCGACCGAGTGAAATATCATGGTACACCGGAGAGCCTTGCAAAGAACAGAGAGCGCGTGAAGCGGATCGAGATGAAGAAAGAGGAGTAGGAAGCAATGGGGATTTCGGCGACGGCGGCAAAGCCGCAGGAGGTTGTTGGCGGTCCATGTTGATGCCCCGACTCTATGGATGGGGAAGGCTAGACGCACCTGCACACGCAAAAGCACAGCTCCAAATATCACGATCGACGTCCCAACACAATATATATATATATATATATATATATATATATATATATATATATATATATATATATATATCGTCACAAACAGAACTGCCCGGTAAAACCGTAGGCAGAGAGAGAGAAGAGGACAACAAACGAGGGGCTGTG